AGTCGGTCAAGGGTTTGAGTCTCAACAGCTACAGTTTGGGAGTTTTAATTCCAATGCTGACTGACATTTAATTTATTAGCAACATGATCCAACCAATTTTTCATATAAGACAAAAAAGATAATAGTAAAATTAAAAATTGGACTCCTTCTCTCCTCCATGTGTCATGCATACATTGGTTAGGTTAAATTTCTTTTATTACATAATTATTTGGTTATTAATCAAACTTTATCTTCATTAAAGAAAATAAAACACACTAAATATGTAAAAGAATTTTCTTTACAAATAGAGAACAATATTGATATATTTCCATATATGTTATTTTTTTAAAATATATTTCTTATATATTTGAAATATAAAATAATAAAAGTAATTACATCTTTAATATATTTTAAAATAAAATAAATTGTTTATATTTTGTATAATTCAATAATAATTAAAGTTGATAATAAATTAAAAAAAAAACATTTTTTAATGAAAGATCATGTTGGGTTGCTTGTAAGGTAACAAAAATTGATATCGTTGCGTTGTGTATGTGGAGGAGAAAGAAAGTATATATATATATATATATATATATATATATATATATATATATATATATATATATATATATATATTTAAATTAAAAAATATTGAGTTGGTTTGTGTTGTTGATAAATATATTCTTATACCAAGTCACCTATGTGGGCCAACATTGAGATTGCTGGAAGAATAACCTTTTTGCGGAACTTTTTTCTTTTTTGGTCAATGTAGAAAAAAAGATATGAAATGACATAAATACCCATAAAAAGTTATTTACGGATTCTTTTTTCAGGTTGTGCTTGTTGCAAATTCTCTTCCGGCACTAAACGATGTGACTGCAATGGAACTTCCGGAAATTGTAGCCGAGGCTGCCAAGGTTTTATAAACTTCCTTTTTTTTTTTTTTTTTTTTTTTAAACAAATCTTTTAAAACATCATTTTTTTTTTTAAAAAAAGAAAATTATAATGAAGCAAAGATTGTTAAAACAAACAGCACTGTGACATTCTTCGTGGAGCTGCTGAAGCTGGTGGCCTACTTATGGATGCAATGATCAGTATTCAAGACAGTCCAAGAGAGAAATCATCTTCAACTCCATTAATGGTGGTTGAAAATGGTTGTGGGAGTCCATGCATTGACTTGAGACAGGTCAGCTCTGACCTAGCTGCTCTTGCCAAAGATGCTGACTTGGTATGCTGACCTGGATTTTTTTTCTTCAAAATTCTATATTGCAAACGAGTTTTTATTGTGAACTTTTTGTATTTTTCAGGTCATTTTGGAAGGTATGGGGCGATCTTTACATACCAACTTTAATGCTCGATTTGTTTGTGATGCTCTCAAGGTAACTATAGCATCGTGTACTTTTTTTTTTGTTAGGATGAGATTGCTATAATTGTGTAGATTTTCAAAGTAATATGTTTGTGATTTGTAATGAATATTATTTATTTATTTGTTATTTTTTTTTTGTAGCTTGCGATGGTGAAGAATCAACGGTTGGCTGAAAAGTTGATTAAAGGGAACATATACGATTGTGTGTGTAGATATGAGCCAGCAAGCTAATTGAAAATTCAAAGCTTTTGTGTTTCCTTACTTTTTTTTTTTTTGGGATAATTTATTAATTATTATTTTGGTTTATCACAATAATTTTAAATTAATTGTAACGTATATTATGTATTAAATAAGTAGTATGATGATTGTAACTTTTATATCAAATGATCTAAATGAGAGAATTTTTTATTATAAACATTTAGAAGTGTCTACAAAGAATAATATGTGTCACTAGTGGGGTTATTATTCTTGATTTTGCGAGAGGTTCCGAGAAGTTCAGTATTTGTTATTTTTACGTATTCCACCCCTTTATTCTTGTTAAGTTCTGTTTCGGTCCTCGATGTTTTGATTTGTATGAAAAATGGTATTTTGTAGATATTTTATGCGTTATTAATTGGCCGACATTGGTTATTGTTTTATATTAAAATTTTGGATGAAATCATTGCACGTATCATCTTGTATTGTAGTGGAATCTTTTTATATATATATATTAAAAGAATATATGACCGACTTCAATGTATCGGAAAATTATACAATGAAACGTTTTGAATTCAATTTTAAAATATGTTATGAATTTTTAATTAAACAAGAAATCTGGTTATTATAATTCAATTTTTAGTTTATGTAACTACATCTTATATTTGATTATAATAATTTAAATATTATCTTAAAGAGTATATTTTGTAATAAAAAGTTAAATAAAGGTATGTTTTTGTGTTTATGGAAACTTTCCCGAATAAAAAAAAAAGACATGTAGATTTAGCTTAATAGATTAATAGTCATTAAATTGAGGTGACTCTTGATTTTTCAAAAAGCCGTATAACAAGTCTATAAAGGAAAAAATGTGTCGACCTAAGCCATTATATACATGGAATGATAAAGGCGAGTATGAAAAATGTATTTATAGTGTTAAAGTCCAACGGATATGTGTTAGTAAAGTCATCACGAAACAAACACAAACAACATTTGTTAACTGTTGTAAACGTAAGCCACAAGTTTAGAGGAAACATTGGTGTTTGGCAACTAATTTTGGAAAGTATTTAGCTTTTATTTTTTAAAATGAAAAATATCGTTTGAGAGTATTAGTTTAAAGCTTTTATTTTACAGCAAATTTTTTTTTAGACATGATTGATAGTTGGAAGTTTTAATTTTTATTTGTGTAGAATTATTCAGAAAATTAACTGTAAATTTTTTAAAATATAAGATTATATAAAACTAAAAGCTACTCCTTAATATAATTTTTTCTTTGTTACAGGTTTTTTCTTAAAACAAACTAAAAGCTAAAATATCATTAAAAGCCCTCAAAATCTTCACTGAAAGTTTTCTTTCTAGTTCTCAGTTTTGAGCTTTTAATCTATGTCGTTTTATATGATTTTACAATTTTAAAAAAATACATCGAGAGTAAATCATTAAAATTAAAACATTAGTAATCTTTGCTTGATACATTTGTGTTTTTCTTAATTATCTAAGGCTTGGGGCAGTGTCGGAGCAAAGATCTAAATAAAAAGGAGTAAAAAAGTATCCCAAAATTTTTTTTGAAAAAAATTACACTAATAAAGAATTATATATATATATATATATATATATATATATATATATATATATATATATATATATATATATATATTAATTGCCAAAATCCTTTTGTGTGAGGTAAATCACTATTCATTTCAACTTTTCTTTTTACCCGTCGATTGTAATGTCATCTTCTTTTCTTTTTCTATAATGTTGCCACGATTTATATTTTTTTTCCTATTTACAAATCCAAGTTTACTAAACCCAAATCATGTTATATATTATCAAGCATGCATTATTAAACGTAAAATAATAGTTTTTGGAAATAGTTATTTAGATTCTGATTATAGAAGATTTTCATATTTATAATCTTTTCCTCTCATTTAATTTTTATTTAACAGTTTTTACCCCTGATAATTTTAAAGTTAAATTATTGGTATTTTATATATTACGATTTGATCCCCTATTATATTTTAAAGTTACACTTCGACCCCTTACATATTTTTTTAATAATCTTTTTTTTTTTTATCAATTTCTTCGTCCGTCTCCTCCGTACATAATTATTTGTATCCAAATTTTATTTTGATATTTTTATGCTCCAGTTTATATGGTTTAATCGTCTCCATGGTATGTATGGTGTCGATCTGCGTTTTTGAACATACCGGGGGCGGGGACTTCCGCAGCATTGCGCGGACGATCAAAATCCTAGTTTTCTTAAAAAATCAAACAACTGAAATTTTTCCGGGAACCACCTAGCTCCACCCATGACATGGGGAGATTTTGAAAAGTAAATGACTCATAAATCAGAACTATTGTTTTAAATACATATCAGGTAAGATTCTATTGTGTTTAATGAAATATTATATTGATAGATTGACTTAGTATAGTAAGAAACATTTTCGATTTTAAATTATTCAGTTGATTATACAATAAGTTTGTCGTTAAGAAAATGAAAAATGTTTTACGTCAATACAGTATGTGACTATATGATAAAATGCATGCCATATAATGACACTTGATAGAAACAAAACGAAGCAAAAGGCATGACATTTGATCAACAAATGAAAACCACAAGTATTCAATGATCATTGTTGTTAACAAGCATATGCATTTCTTTCCTGATTGACTTTTTTGCATTTACGAAAATGCATTTAACATGTTATGTACTAATGTTTACCAATTAAATAAAAAACCATAAACTCTTAAATATATACGCGTGCCATAAATATTTTATGTGATTTGTAACAATAATTAAGGGAGCCAAGGTTTTTCTTAGGTTGTGGTTGAGATACTATCCACTTTGTTTTTTCTTTTTGAGTTTTTAAAGATTGTTATATTTGACAAACTAAAAAATAGCTTATAAATATTAAAAAAAAAAAAAAAAAACTATTTGTACTAAGGTTTCAATCTGTTTAATAAGTTATTCTAAAACTCTTTTCAATATATCATTTATTAATTATAAAAAAATCAATCTTTTACATGTATTTTAATATCATTTTTATTTATCAACTAGTTTACAGAACTATATTTTTTTATCGATCATCAACTAACTTTTAAATTAATACATTAAAGATAATCTTAGCATTAATCCTATAAATATGTATAGACCCCCCAACGATGAAAACCTGATGGTTAAAAAGTGAGATTTCATATGAGAGTTTAGGTTTGAAACCTTTAAAATATTACTAATATTCTACCATTAACAAATTAATCTAGACCATTCATGGTCTATGGTTTACCATTTATTTTTAAATGTGTAAAAGATACACAAACATATCTCGGTATTTTAGAAGGCAACAAGTTTTAAGATTAAACACGTTTAATTGTTATGGTTTAATTAAGTAGAAATATAAGATAAGGAAAGTGGAAAACATGAATTATTTAATTATTAGAGTAAAAACCGACTTAATTCACGTGTCCACTTGCCCAAGAAACCCCAAGAGTACAGAACAAAATGAAATTGTGGGCAATTCCGTGGGAGAGAGGATTTCTTAGCCGACCCTCTCCCCCTTAAAACCGGTGACACCGCCACCAGTTTCCGCCGCACTGCCTCGGCCTCTCTCTGTCTATCGATATTTCTGAGTCGGTCGTTTCTTCCTCAACATAATCCATTGGCGTGCCTATTGTTTACTCTTTTACTAAGCGGTTACCAAAATTATCACTTTCGGGGATTTAAATTTGCCTCCTTCCTCGCCTTTATTCATACCGACATGCGTGAATGCATACACACATACAGTATACATACACATACACATATCTTCTTGTTTTGATTCACTGAGTTTGTTTAACGTTTTCGAATCGTAGATTCTTCTTTTGGATTTTCTATGGCGGTATATACCCAGCGTTTTATCCAAGCGAAAGAGATTCTCCTTGATTAATACTGTTTGATTATTAGGAATTTAGGATAGTCCGATTGTATCGGTTGTAATTTGTTCTTTGGTTACATGCATTGAGTTGAAGGTAGGAATTTATAATTTGATTGCTTAGTTTTTAAACAATGTTGCAACTGTTGCCGGCTGCCATGGATCCGAGATTGGTAGGCGATGATGAAGGAACCTCCTCGAGTTTTGGTGGTGACGATGAAATCCGTCGTCCGATTACAGAAGACTCCGTTTCTGGGGGGAGTTCGGAAGATGAGGATGATTCTTCATCTATTTCTGATTGTGAAAGTGTTATATCCGGAAGTAGAATCGTCGAACATGCCAGGATTCAACCAGAAGGGTTGGTTCGATTGGATGAGAGTGAAAAAATGTACGGGATTATCGAGAAAAAGTTCATATCGAGATTGGATGTTCATGGGGTTAAGGCTCAAATTCAAAACATCCATAGGAATCTGTTCAATACCAGCGCGATTACCCAAGCTAGACTGAGGTGCTTCCAGATTTTCTCAAAAGCTGTGGAGATTAAAAATGAAGGTGCGGCTAATATCAAGTATGCTTGGTTTGGTGCTTCAAGGGATGAAATCAACAACATCATTCTGCACGGATTTGGCCATGAGAATATTCAAAAGAATGGCTCTTTTAGTCATGGCGTTGTTCTATCTCCTGATCATTCCCCACTTGAAAGGTCGGTTAATTTTAATCCATGTTTTTCTAATTCTCTTCCTAACTATTTCATTTTATTAATCTATTATATATATCAACAGTGTGGAGTCTGCAATTGTCGATGAAGATGGGGTAAAACACCTTCTGCTGTGCCGAGTGATATTGGGTAAATTGGAGCTTGTGAATCCTTCTTCTACGCAATGCCACCCGAGTTCAGAGAATTTTCAGTCGGGAGTCGACGATTTGGTTTCCCCTAAAAAGTTCATCGTATGGAGCAATCAGATGAGCACTCACATATTGCCAGAATTCGTCGTCAGCTTCAAGACACCATCGAAACCTTCAAACGTGAACAGTAAGTCACCTCAACATTCTCATGATTCAATAGTCAATTTCATGATACGATGGACCTCGATTGATTTATATACACAATTTTATATATGATTCAGGATCTCAATCAGATGGAGTTCGAATTCAGAAACCCGTTTCCCCATGGATCCCAATTCCAGAACTCATTGCAGCACTTTCCAAGATTCTGCCTCCTAAATCCATGAAGGAGATCACACAGTATCGTCGCAGTTACATTGTAAGTGCTAATAAATTCAAATTATACCTTTTTCATAAAATTATGGATTCGTTTTAATGGTTATTGGTATGATTTTACAGGAACATAAAATCTCTAGACGTGACATGATACAAGGAATCAGAGAATGTACAGGTGACAGCCTGTTGCTGATGGTTCTAAAAGATTTCACAGAGCAGCGAAAACATGGCCTGAATTGAAGTAAAGAAATTGTGGTTTAGGATGGAAGAAGGGTATTTTGGGGAATAAGTGAAAACTAACAGGGTACTTGATTTTTAGATATGTTTTAGGTTATACATGAGTCTAATGTTGTACCCTTTTTTATAGTTGAAGCAATTGTAAAGCTCTTGACTTGGAACTTTTGATTGTTTTGGGTACAACAATCAAGAAATAGTTTTGTCATTTGTGATATGAAATCTTGATTTTCTTGTATTATTGCAATTAGTTGTTTTGGGTATAACCAATTAGTTGTTTTGGGTATAATCAAGAAACGATAGTGTTGGCTTTAAGGGTTTATTACTCTATAATTTGCAAGATCAATTATACATTAAATTAAACTAATTAATATAGGAAAGTTCAAGAGAGAATAATATAATTTTAACATCTATATTTGGTTTTTAACATTTATATTATAAAAAATTTGAACATAACAAAGCAAAAGATTTACTTGGGTTTACACCCATAAATTTTAGTAATTAAACACTTTTATATATAGAAAAAACGAACAATGACACCTAGGAGGTGAATAGAGAGAGGCTAAAATTCAAGAAACCAAGGAATTTCTAAGGTCGGACGGAGTGGAGCGAGGAATTTCTAAGGTCGGACGGAGTGGAGCGGGAGACCTTCCCTCACTTTGGAACACGGTTGAAGGGAGCTTTCTGCGGGAAAGGGGTGGGGGAGGGGGTGCCGCACATTCTCTCCTCATTCTATTGGACAACTTTTTTTATTTTAAACCTTTTTAATATTTATAAACTAAAAAAATATAAAAAATATATCAAAATTCATGGTTTTTAATTCTTTATAAAATGAATATAATATATTAATGAAATATATTTTAAAAAAATATATATAAAAAAATAGTGAGGAGTTTTTCACAAATTTCTTGGGTTTTAGGTGAGAAAAAAAAAAGTGAAAGGAAATGATGATGTGACCCACAAAAAGTGAGGGAAGCATCCCTCCTACACCCTCCGGTCTAAGGAAAATTTATTCATATATCGGTAGCAAGTGAAAATTAGGTAGTTGTATTGGTGATAAGAATTTCTAAGAAAAATTTATTCCGACATCGTTAGTAAGTGAAAATTAGGTAGTTGTATACTTGTATTGGTGATGTATATGATGAAAGAAAAAGACAGTAGTTTTATGTCCTAGAAGGTTATATAGAGTGAGTATTTTTTTTATGGTTTTATGTCATATGAGGCTTATATAGAGTGGGTATTTTTTTTTATGGCATCCCAACTCACGCGTAAAAATGTAACAAACACCACCCCCATCTCTCTCTCTCTCTCTCTCGCTCTCTCATCTAGAACTTAGTAATAAAAATCATTCAAACTCTAAGTCAAAACTAAAAGTCAAACATAGAAATCAAACACATAAATTTAGTCAAAGCTGAAATCAAAACCACAAATCAATCACTGCAAATCAAACCTGAAAATTTATTTAAACCATAAATCGTAATCTATGACTGGAGCTTCTAGGAGACCTTGTAAGGAAATAATTGCTTTTTAAAGATTCTCTCTCTCTCTTTCTCTCTCTCTCTCTCTCATCCAGAACTTAGTAATCAAAAATCAACTGTAATACGTTTGACTCTCACTAGTGACTTGCTAGTGAGTGTCTATTAATAAAATTGTCGACTCCAAAAAAAAAATAAGTAATCAAAATCATTCAAACTCTGAAGTCAAAACTAAAAGTTGAATATAGAAATCAAACACATAAATTTAGTCAAACCTGAAATCAAAACCACAAATCAATCACTATAAATCAAACCTGAAAATTTATTTAAATCATCGATCATAAAACTTGCATGTTACAATTTTCCGACACACTAAACTATTTCAAACCCGCAACATAGTGCGGGTGATTTTTACTAGTTACCATCAAAGACCTATGCTAGTTGAGTAGCTGAAACACATTCCGTATGAAAATTTTGAAAGTCTTTTAAAATATTTTAATTCATTTAAGAAACCAATTTGCAAATTTAAAGTTCTAAAATATCAGATACAAGCAAGAAATGTAAACTAATCTATGTATAATATTTAATAAGGGTAAAAAAATAAATTATTCAATTGTAAAAAATATAAATAAAAAAAAGATTAAAGTTGAAGGGTTAGATTCATAACATGCAAGGGTTAAAAATGAAAATATATATTTATTTTTAGGAAAGTACGATTGGAAAAGATAACAATGGTGCCACTTATTTATAAAAATAACCTATTTCTACGGTACATTTCGAAAATCAACCTACTTTTACAAAAAAAAAAAAAAAAAAAAAAAAAAAAAAAAAAAAACCCAATATGTGCGTTTTCTATTTTTAGTATTTCCTTTTGTGTGTGTTTGGGATTATTGATTGTTGCTTATGGTAACACGGCTTGCATCACATATGACGACGCTCCCTCCCTCTCCCTCTCTCTTTCATAATATTTCTTAGTTAATTTTTTAATCCAACAAAGGTCCGTGTCCGTTCTCCATGGACGTGATTTGTTTGTTTCCTTTTCTTTATTAATGTCTTCTTCTCGGATGTCTCATAGATAATTTTGTATCTTGTAGGATTCTGATTCAATTAATTGCGCCTAACAGAGGTTTCCTGATTGATTTTAATCGATTTCGCGTTCAAGGTTGATGATAGACGTATTCTGGTTGGCATTTTCAAGTAAATTTAAATTCATATCTCGCCTTTTTTAAATAGTTAGGTTATTTTTGGGCGATATTCAACTTTTGAATTTGTGGCCATCATCGGTCCCGTATTCGTTAATCCTGCATCACAGTTAGGGTTTCATTTATACAACTTGGATTGATTTTGATTGGAGTCCCATAAGTGGTGGCTGTTAGAAATCACGATCTGCATAGGTTTGATACGGGGTTACTTAGAATTAGTTGAAGAATTGAGGAATACTATTAGCATTCTACATCAACAACAACAAAAGTATAGTTGTGTATGCCATTTAGTCTTTCTCCTTTTGTAGTTACGGTATAACTGGATTGCGGATTCAAGTTGTTTAGGATTTCTGATAGTGTTTTACTGTTTTCTCATTGCTGTATAAAGTTGAATGTGGTTGTGACGAGAAACAAATGATAATTTCATCATGAGAAGGATGAGAAAATTGTTTGCCCATGGATGCATCGGAGAGACCATTAACTAATCTGATAGGTAACCTCAGATCCTGGATCCCTCGGAGGTCTGAGCCTGCTAATGTGTCGAGGGATTTTTGGATGCCCGATCAGAGTTGCAGGGTATGCTACGAATGTGATACCCAGTTTACCTTATTCAACCGAAGACACCATTGCAGACTTTGTGGCCGAGTTTTTTGTGCCAAGTGCACTCATAATTGGATCCCTACTAGACCCAGTACTCAAAACATAATCAGGGAAGAATCAGAAAAGATCAGGGCCTGTAATTACTGCTTCAAGCAATGGCAGCAAGGTGGGTTAGCTGGTTCCATTGATCATGGAATCCAGGATTCCAGTCTTGATCTCAGCACCTCTCCATCAGCTGTCAGTCTCATTAGCACCAAATCTAGTGGCACTGTTGACAGTAGCAGCATTGCTTTTACATCTGTGCCACAATCAGTCTGCTCTTATAACCATTACTCTACTGGAGTTACTTCGCACCAATCCGTTGTAATGGAATCAAATCTAGATGAGCAGAATGATCTAGCAGCAAGGAGCAATGAACTATTTCTTGATACGGGAACTCGGTCTCCTAGTGGTGATGACTTTGATGAAGAATTTGCTTATCAGCTAGCTACTAGTGGAGGACATGTTTTGCAGATGGATAATGTCTATTATGATGAATTACAAATGGATGATATGGATAACGACTATGAATCACATAAAGTCAACCCTGATGCAGAACCTCATGATGTAACCAGTGTTAGCAGTTGTTCCTTACAAACTGCTTTTGATCACACTGTCTCTGAGGCAGTCCAGCTTGAGAAAAAAGAGGATACACATACACGTAATGTTAGTGATGACTGTGAAGCTTCTTCATCTTCTATATATGTTGCACAAGACGTCCCTGAACCTGTAGATTTTGAGAACAATGGAGTCCTTTGGCTACCTCCTGAACCTGAAGATGAAGAAGATGAGAGGGAATCTCTTTTATTTGATGACGATGATGATGATGGAGATGTTGCTGCTGGAGAGTGGGGGAGTTCAAGCAATTTAGGAAGCGGGGAGTGTCGCAATAGGGAGAAGTCAAATGAAGAGCACAAGAAAGCCATGAAGAATGTAGTTGATGGACACTTCAGGGCTTTAGTATCTCAGTTGTTGCAGGTTGAAAACCTTCTTGCAAGTGAGGAAGACGAGAAAGATAGTTGGTTAGAGATTATAACATCTTTGTCTTGGGAAGCTGCATCTTTGTTAAAACCAGACACAAGTAAAGGTGGAGGGATGGACCCCGGAGGTTATGTGAAGATTAAATGTTTGGCTTCAGGGTGTCGCACTGACAGGTAACAAATTTTGTGGTATATAAAGTTTTCATTTTTTGTTCTTACTTTAATATTCAGTTTTCTTTTTCCAGTATTGTGATTAAAGGGGTTGTTTGTAAGAAAAATGTGGCTCATAGACGGATGGCATCAAGAATTGAGAGGCCTCGTTTCTTGATTCTTGGAGGGGCTCTTGAATATCAACGTGTTTCTAACCACCTGTCAAGTTTCGATACTCTATTACAACAGGTAACAGTAAATCCATGCTTGTTGTACATGGAATGAAACATTTTGTGAATTGGTATTTTCTTTAGGAAATGGATCATTTAAAGATGGCTGTGGCAAAGATAGATGCTCACCAGCCTGATGTGCTTTTGGTGGAGAAATCAGTATCGCGATATGCGCAAGATTATCTTCTTGCAAAAAACATATCTCTTGTTTTAAACATCAAAAGACCACTTCTTGAACGGATAGCCCGATGCACAGGTGCTCAAATAGTTCCATCAATCGATCATCTTTCATCTCAGAAACTGGGATGTGCAGATATGTTTCATGTTGAAAGATTCTTGGAAGAACATGGAAGTGCTGGACAGGGTGGAAAGAAGCTAGTCAAGACACTCATGTACTTTGAAGGCTGTCCAAAACCGTTTGGTTGCACTGTAAGTCATTCCATTACCATTCCCATTAAAACTTAAAAAGATAAAAAAAAAAAAAAAAAAGATTAGCTTTTTAAATATTATGTTGTTTATGTTGAAATTCTCAGATATTACTGAGAGGGGCGAGTGGCGATGAGTTAAAGAAAGTGAAGCATGTTGTTCAGTATGGAGTTTTTGCTGCTTACCATTTGGCTTTAGAGACTTCTTTTCTTGCTGATGAAGGCGCCTCACTGCCCGAACTGCCCTTGAATACTACCTTAACCGTAGCACTTCCTGACAAAGCATCATGTATCGACAGGTCAATTTCAACAATCCCTGGTTTCACCACCCCTGTGAGTGAGAAACCTTTGGTGAATGTAAATGTAAATCACTCCTACCCTGAGCCACAACAAGTGAACAGTGTCTCCATGTCAGAAATGTTCTCTACCATCATCAACCAAAAATCAGAAGCAAAACAGTTCCCCTTGGAAGGGGTGGTGGACCCCACTACTTCTAGGGCACTCGGGCAAATAAATACCCATCTTGTTGGAGACTATTTTGAGCCTCCACAGGCACAAGGTGAGGGTAGTTTATCCCATGCTACTTCAGATGCGTCATCTCTGCAACTGGATGTAAAGAATGGGAAAGAGGATTCTGCTACTTCAAAGGAAGAGTTCCCTCCTTCACCTTCTGATCACCAAAGCATTTTGGTTTCCTTGTCATCCAGATGTGTCTGGAAGGGGACAGTTTGTGAGAGGTCCCACTTATTTCGCATCAAATACTACGGGAACTTTGATAAACCACTAGGGCGCTTTCTCAGAGATGACTTGTTTGACCAAGGTTATAGCTGTCGTTCATGCGAGATGCCTGCAGAAGCACATGTGCAGTGTTATACACATAGACAAGGAACCCTAACCATATCTGTGAAGAAGCTGCCCGAATTTTTACTGCCCGGAGAAAAGGAAGGTAAGATTTGGATGTGGCACAGGTGTTTGAGATGCCCCCGGACTAGCGGTTTCCCACCTGCAACTCGTAGAATAGTGATGTCAGATGCTGCTTGGGGTTTATCATTCGGGAAATTCTTGGAGCTCAGTTTCTCAAACCATGCTGCTGCTAGTAGGGTTGCAAGTTGTGGTCATTCTCTACATCGTGATTGTCTACGCTTTTATGGGTACTTTAAAAAAAAACAAATTTTCTCTATATTCTATATTGTAATTTGTTAGTTTCATCCTTATATTATATGCAGATTTGGGAAAATGGTTGCTTGCTTTCGTTATGCATCAATTGATGTCCATTCTGTCTTCCTTCCTCCTCATAAACTTGATTTCAAATACGAGAATCAGGAGTGGATTCAACATGAAGTGGATGAGGTTTGGTTGTTGTTGTTATACTACACGAGTGATTAAGCTCCGATTCCACGAGGGTAAATATGTCTTTCTAATTGGAATTTACAAACAGGTTGTGTACCGGTCGGAACTATTGTTTTCAGAAATTCTTAACTCCCTAAGTCGAATGGCAGAAAAGAAAAACGGGCATTTGACAGGGTCGGTTAATGGTGTGACAAGAATCCCACAATTAAGACGACAAATTGCAGATTTGGAAGTTATGTTACGAAAGGAAAAAACAGAGTTTGAGGTGAGTTGATGAGCCGTGCTTCTATTCTTTTTGACAAAATTTGATTTATTTTATAATCAAATCTATGGACTATGATATTGTCACAGGAGTCGCTGAAAAAGATTTTACATCAAGAGGTGAAAAAGGGACAACCGATAATTGATATTCTTGAAATCAACAGACTGCGTAGACAGCTTCTGTTTCAATCTTACATGTGGGACCACCGCTTGGTGTATGCATCAAATGTTGACACCAATAGCCCCCGATCCAACCTCAATGATTTTGAATCCGAACACGTGGATATTAATAACAACCATAAAGTTGTGGATTCATGTGATGTTTCGGATGTTGGGGACATTCACAACCATGAAAATGTTGAAGAGGATATGAATCAAAGTCCAACAGAAGAAAACGAGACAAGTCTATTTTCTGAACCATCAATATCTTCAAATCCAGGTGTGCGTAGAGCCATTTCAGAAGGACAGTTTCCTGTTATGGCAAGTTTATCAGACACTCTAGAAGCTGCCTGGACAGGTAACCTTCAAAAGGATACAGCTTCTGTTTTATCCGAATCAGACTTAACAGAATCTTCACTACTCGAGAAAGGTGTAGAAGAACAAAGCTGTGGGACAAAAACGTCACTTGTATCTCCTGTTTTCTCAAACAAAGGCTCTGAAATCATGGAAGATTCCACGAGTTGGTTGGGTATGCCGTTTTTGAACTTCTATCGCTCTTTAAACAAAAACTTCACAACCACTTCCGAAAAACTCGACACCCTCAACGGTTATAATCCCGTTTACATCTCGTCTTTTCGCGAATCAGAACTCCAAGGTGGGGCTCGCTTGCTTTTAGCCGTGGGCGCAAATGACACCGTTGTCCCTGTGTATGATGACGAACCCACAAGCATCATATCATACGCTTTGATTTCCCCTGATTATATCGCGCAG